ATCAACCCCATCATCGTCATCGCCAATACTCACTTTAGTTTAAATAACAATGTTTGGGTATTTCTGTAAATTATATACCTGAGATGTTCTCTGCCTTTTGCTGCCAATCCACTATATGATACAATACGAGGAATGCTCCAGCTAATGCCTAGTCTTTATTCTTTTCTTCTGAGGTACGCGGGCCTCTCACTGTTGTGGCCTCTCCCGTTGCGGAGCACAGGCTCCGGACGCGCAGGCTCAGCGGCCATGGCTCACGGGCCCAGCCGCTCCGCGGCATGTGGGATCTTCCCGGACCGGGGCACGAACCCGTCCTCTGCATCGGCAGGCAGACTCTTAACCACTGTGCCACCAGGGAAGCCCCAACAATCCCTTTTAAACTGATCAAAAAAACAGCTCTAGGTACTTTCCCTTTGGAGCTGCCAAAGCTGTCCTCTCCCATTGTCCCCAGTTTTTGGTTATGAGATCTAATCTGGGCATCTTTTTCATAAGTGTCATAAAGGAATGCAGTATCAATTTACATCACATGATTTTAAGTGATGTTCTCTTTCTTCAAAACGCTCTTGCCCTTCCATCTCCACATGCCCAAATCCCATTCACCTTCTGAAGAAAACTAAAAATAATCTCTCTCATTTATTTCATTTATTCAGCAAATATCTGTTGCATGCTTGCTGTGGAGCAAGCACTCTGCAAGTGCTGGGAATACAAGACATGAGTTTTGACCTCATGAAGCTTATAGTCAGGTGGGGAAGACTGACAATTAACAAAAACAAGTGATGGGGAAGAATAGGGTACAATGGGAGGACCGGCAGGAGTACTTACACTCTGTTGGAATTCGAGCAGACACAGAGGTCTTTTTGAGGACTTTTAAAAGATGATACCTAAAGAATGAGTAGGAATGGGGACGAGGGAGGGAGGTGCACGTGTTCAAAATTAAGAGAAATCATTCAAGTGAAAGTGCTGGTGAAAGCACCCTTGAAAAAGGCCTCTTTAATTCCTCCTTCTCCCAAGTAATTTCTCCATTTGATGAACCCCATAGCACATATGTAACTTTTAGACCATAAGATCTCTAAAGATAAAACATATGACTTACACAGAGCACTTGATAAATATGATTTTGGCTTCAGAGGAGAATGAGGCCTTATATGTGTCAACGCAAAATGCTAAGTTAAAACATTAAAAGCATCTGAGGTAAGAGGTGGATTATATCATATCGCTCTTCAAAATGATAGGAATAGCCTCACCTACCTAGGTGATTACAGAGACCAAAGCAGCAGGGAAGAATTGATTCATAAAGTTCTGGAGGAAGTACAAAGTAATTATAGTTCCAATCCTCAGATGTTACTTTAAAGGCTATTTCAGGAAACATAATGAAAACCTGGTACCCATCAGAAAGAAAAAATAGCCACTTATTTTTGTTTGCAGAGCTTTTCTTCTTAAATATTGTCTCGGTATTGGCTGCTCTTTGTGTGTACTAGGGTTTTGGGTTACTGGTGGGGCGAGCCTTATCAGACCTGACAAGCTACTTTAAAAATCAAGTATTAAAAAAGAAAAAAAATCAAACATCCATGTCACAACTCAGGTTTCTACTGTTTCATTTTAGATGCATGATCTAAAATCTTTCTGCTGCTTGGCTGAGAGGAACTAGAAGTTAGTAAATTTTAATAGAGAAGTAGATTTGGGGGTATAGCTGTTGTCTCGATAGGCCAGAATAAATGAAAATTTAAGAATCTCTTTTCCTCCCCTTAATTTATTCTAGTTCATTCAGTAATTCATCCTTGGGTTTGAGAAGGCACTTGTTTGATCCTGCCATTTCTACAGCTAAGTAAACAATAACCCTCAAATAATGAGAAAATGTACATAAGTGTGTTTTGTGAATGGTAAGGCTCTATACACAAATTTAAGGACTTATTTTTTATTATTAACTTGGAACTATTTTTGATACCAGTTTTTAAAAGCGTCCTTTTCAAGGCCAAGGATTACTTTTTCGAATGCTGTCCTATAGTATGGTGAGTTGTGGCTGAAGTATGGTAAGGTGTGGATTACAAATTCTCTAATTTGATAATTCTTAACCTTTATTTATCTTTTATTAATAGATCTTATTTTTTTAAAGTTTTAGATTTACAGAAAAATTGAGCAGACAGTACAGAAAGTCCGCATATACTTCTCCCCATCCCCAGTTTCCTCTATTAATATCTTACATTATTAGTACATTTGTTACAATTAATGTACCAATATTGATACATTGTAATTAACTAAAGTCCATATTTATTCAGATTTCCTTAGTTTTTGCCTAATGTCCTTTTTCTGTTCCAGGGTCCCATTCAGCTTTAAACTTACCAGTTTAGTTATGTTAGTTATATCCACATTACCCTTAGTTGTCATGTATTCCTGAGCTCCTCTTGAGTGTGACATTAACCTTCATTTTTTGGGTCATGAACTGGGTTGAAAATCTGATGAAAGCTATGGATTCTCTCCACAGAAAGATATACATGCTACAGATGTCTGATTTAAGGGAGGCTCACCCACAGCAGATTCAGAAGCCCTGCTTTAGAAGGAATGGGTGATCTTTTTTTTTAATTAGTTTTTATTGGCGTATAGTTGATTTACAATGTTGTGTTAGTTTCTGCTGTACAGCAAAGTGAATCAGTTATACATATACATATATCCACTCTTTTTTAGATTCTTTTCTCATATAGATCATTACAGAGTATTGAGTAGAGTTCCCTGTGCTATACAATAGGTTCTTATTAGTTATCTATTTTATATATAGTAGTCTGTATATGTCAATCCCAATCTAACAATTTAATCCTCCCCTCCCGTAAACCATGTTTGTTTTCTACATCTGTAGAAAAGTGATCTTTTTATTTTATTTTTTAATATATTTATTTATTTATTTTTGGCTGCATTGGGTCTTCGTTGCTGCACGTGGGCTTTCTATAATTGCAGCGAGCGGGGGGGATACTCTTCGTTGCAGTGCGCGGGCTTCTCATTTTAGTGGCTTCTCTTTGTTGTGGAGCACGGGCTCCAGGCGCGTGGGCTTCAGTAGTTATGGTTCACAGACTCTAGAGCACAGGCTCAGTAGTTGTGGCACATGGGCTTAGTTGCTCCGCGGCATGTGGGATATTCCCAGACCAGGGCTCGAACCCGTGTCCCCTGCATTGGCAGGCAGATTCTTTTTTTAAAGATGAAGACTTTTTTTTTAATGTTGAGCCTTCTTTTAATTAATTAATTAATTAATTCATTGGCTATGTTGGGTCTTCTTTTCTGTGCGAGGGCTCTCTCTAGTTGTGGCAAGCTGGGGCCACTCTTCATTGCGGTGCGCAGGCCTCCCACTGTCGCGGCTTCTCTTGTTGCGGGGCACAGGCTCCAGATGCGCAGACTCAGTAGTTGTGGCTCACGGGCCTAGTTGCCCCGCAGCATGTGGGATTCTCCCAGACCAGGGCTCGAACCCGTGTCCCCTGCATTAGCAGGCAGATTCTCAACCACTGCACCACCAGGGAAGTCCCCAGGTGATCTTTCAATGTCCACTTCCCCGCATCAGGGCCATGCTCTACCTCTAATTTGTTGTGTGACCTTTTTGCAACCCCATTTTCCTACCTGGGCCTCAGTTTCACTACCTGTGAAATGAAGGGTTTGGTTTACCTGACGTCTAACTCCTTTTCTATCACAGTAGAAGGTGGGGGTCACTTAGAACTGTCCATATCTGAGGAACAAAGGTTGGTAAGAGAAGACCAAGGCAGGTCAAGCTAGGGAAGTGGATGGTCTTATCAACGAGGAGGTTGTGGAGGTTCAATTGGGGGAAAAGACAAAACCTGGGTTCCACTTTAAGGCTCTGCGGATTTTCTAAATCATTTCCTTCCTGTGACCTTCAGCTTTCTTGTCTACAAAAATGTGGAGGCCCGGCTTCTGTTACGAAACTCCTGGGAGCAACAGTACCTAGTAGGGTATCGTCTGAGGAATTATAAGAAAGAAGATGGAGAAGGTGGGTGCAGAGGTGAAGGGCGTATCTGAGGACTGTGAGGCAGAGCTGGGGGCTCAGGAAAGAGGAACCTTCTGTACACCTTCGGGACTTCCGACTTCACCCACACTTGGGGTCAATTCCGCCCCCCATTCCGGCCCCGTCTCCGCCCCATGCCCTGCCCTCCCCTCCCCTCCCCTCAGGTTGCGACGGGCCACACTTCGCATGGCC